ATCCCCTACGAGTGTTAGGGAACCACCAAACTTTTCAAGGCAGGAAAACCTCTAACACTTTACGATACGTGTTTGAGTGTAACTCACGTTCATCACACCAACCAATACAAGAGATAACAACAACATTTTTCATAAAATACAACTACAATTAAGAATCATGGATCCATCACTTTTTCAAGGGAATAATTCAATAAAACATGCAAGAAATCCCATAGAAAATATATTTGAATTGATAGTGCTCAAGAACTATGGTTTTGTAATCAAGGACTTAAAATATTGTAATGTAAAACATGTATTTGGATGAAAACCATGTTTTTATTCAAGAATTGAAACACATTTAAAAAGGAATGTCAAAACGTTGAAGATCTATCACATATATGGAGCAGGAATCAAGAGTTAGGTTTTTAAATAAAGAACGAATAGATCTTGGAAGTAAATCATGTATTTTGTTTAAGAAATAAATCATAGATTCAAAAGAACGTAAAACCATTGTAAATCAATTATTTATATTATAATAAGGACGAAAAAGATATATTATATAACCCTAATCATCGGTAAATGAATTTGAGAAAGAACCCCTACCTTGATTCCTGAGATTTGGATCCTAATGTATTTTGTTGTCATTACTACGTGTTAATCGTTCAAGATTTAGCCCATTCTTTCTCCTTTTCGTCTCCTCAAACTTTCCTAGGATTTTTAGGGTTCAAAAGATAAGTAACGACACTTTAGATCGCGACCCTAGGGTGTTTATAAGCTAAAAAATAGAGAATTTTTGTATGGGTGCAGGTAACAGCTTGCCCCTCACTTGATTTTGACCTAGTTACCGATTTACGAAATTTTATTAAAATACACTTTTGTAGCCCTTGAAATCTAGTTTCTATTATAAAAACTTTATGTCAATCGAACATTGAGGTAAAATTTATTGCCAAAATACTAAGGTAATGTAAAATTCCTTTCTACCAAAATCTTTTCCAAATCAGGTTTTAACTCTAGAATAATTATAAAATTCTAATACAATTTACATAATCTCTTCCAATGTTTTTCGATATTCCGAATTCAATGGAAACCTTTTTTTTTTTGACCTAAAAATATTTATAAAATTACTTAGCCACCGTTCTTAAGCTCAAACATCTGCAAAACTCAATTTACTCCCAAAGTTAATACGTTTGAAACTCGAACTTCATAATTAATTTTTCAACAATAATTCTAATTTTTTACCATCATTTTATTCACTTTAGGAGAACTATTAATATAATATTATCCCTCTTTAATTTTAATACTTCGTCTTACATGGTCAAAGGGAAGTGATTTATTTGGGGCATATCATTTCACACAAGGGAGTGGCCATGGACCTAGGAAAAATTGAGGTAATGGTTTCTTGCCTGATTTTTCCCAAGGGTTTGTGGTGGAGCTTGATGCGTAAGGGACGAGTATAGGCACATTATAGATGCAGAATACTCAACCTATTGTCAGTGGTGGTTCAATCAAATTTGAGGCATAAAGTGAAAACATTAAATGAAGACCTTTTTGATTTTTAATATTATTTTTTAAAAAAATTAATTTATTTTTAAGTTATTATGTGAAAGAGAGACAGAAAAAGGACTTGCTAATAGTGCCGAGAGAAATGTTTTAACTTTTATCTTTTTTTTTTACCGAAGAGAGCATTTAATTTTGGGTAAGTCCTATAAAGGAAGAGGTAAAAGAGGACAAGGAGTTACAAATTTTGGTTAAGAGGATAGTGCAGGGTGAAGTTATGGGTCCCTGGGAACTAAAAAAGGGGGGTGATACTTTTTAAGAACAAAATATATCTGAAGGCCAGCTCTCCGTTTGTTCCTACCATGATAGGCAAGTGTGAGAAGTTTTCGATTGGTGAGGGATGAAGAATTGCATCAAGAAGTTTATTCAAGAATGTGACACTTGCTAGAGAAGCAAAATTGAACACACAAGGCCGGTTGGGTTATCAGTCCTCTACCTATTCCACGATATATTTGGATGGATATTTCCATGGATTTTATTCCGGGGGCGTAGGCAGAAATCTTCTCTAGTGGGGCAACAATAGTCAAAATTTTAAATGTTTTACAAAAATATATTTTTATTAATAGAACTTCAATTAAAGGTACAACTCATATACATGAGCGATGTAAAAAAATAGCCAACAAAAAAAAAAACTCACTATAAATTTATCTATAAGACCTAACAAAAAAAATTTGAACAAAAAAAATGAGTTCAATCATATATTGAGTCTATAATAAGAAAATCCAAATTGTCGAACATTTTATAAATATTTATAGTTGCTCCTTAAGAGTTTTCATATTTTGAAAGTGTTGTATGATAATTTCATTATTAATGGTACTTAAAATTATTTTCTCGACATATGTAACCAAGCAATTGTTCATCCATTGATCTCTCATTCAATTGCTCAATTAATTTTTTAAAAATTAATTTGTTAAGTCATACACTTAGTATTCATCAGTGAATTTTTAACAAATAATAAAAACTATCTTAAACTATCACTATTCTATTAAACTAAACCTAGGTATAGGACTTACTTAACCTATCACAATAAAATTATTCAAACCACCAAATCAAAATAATTTAATCTAACACATAATGGAGGACTATACGCCTCAATTCCAATTCAACATATAAGAATAAAACAAAAGAAAGGGCTACAAGCCTCAATTTCAATTCAACATAAAAATAAAACACAAGAGATGATTACAAGCCTCAATATCAATTAAATATCTAAAAAATAAAACATAAAAGATGACTACAAATCCCAATTTCAACATATAAAAATAAATAGAGGACTACAAACCCCAATTTCAATTCAATACATAAAACAATAAAACACAAGGAGAGCTACAAGCCCCATAAATTTTTTAAAACTTTTTAGTGGGGGTAAATGTCTATTAAATTCTAAATTTTTTAAAATTATACTTACACCCCATACTTTTTAAAAATTTCAGTAGGGGCAACTGCCCCTAGATATTTTTTGATCACATTTTTAAGCTACATGGAATGGCAAAAATCATAGTTTGTGATCGGGATCCTCTTTTTACTAGCTTATTCTGGAAGGCATTGTTCAAACTAAATGAGGTTAAATTTAATTTTAGCTCTGCTTATCACCCGCAAATGAATGGACAAATAGAGGTTGTTAATCGTACAATTGAGATATATTTGCATTGATTTACTAATTCTAAGCCCAAGGAGTGGGTAATGTGGCTGTCATTGGATAGAATATTGTTATCATTCCAGATTTCATTCTTCCATTAGTCAGACCCCATTTGAAGTTGTGTATGGACATGAACCACCCAATCTATTAAGCTATGTTTAGGGCACTTCGCAAATAGAATCTATTGAGAAATTTTTGTTGGAAAGAGATAATTTGAAGGAGGCACATTAGAGGATGAAAAGGATTTATGATGGCAAGCGGACTGATAGCACGTTTGACGAAGGAGAATGGGTCTATCTAAAATTACGTCTGTATCGCCAAATGACCGTAGCATAGAGGAAGAATCAAGGATTGGCCTCTACCCGTCCCCGACGCATTTCGACCCCTTTAAGGTTATCAAAAAAATAGGTAAGGTGGCTTACAAATTGGAGCTGCCAGAAGATTCAAAAATTCATCTTGTTTTTCATGTTTCCTCTTTGAAACAAAATTGGGCCCTGTAGCTTTGTTAACGCCTAATTTACTAGGATATTTGGAAACAAGTGAGGAGGTTTTTCATTTTCCTAATGCTTTGTTTGGTAGGAAGGATGAAAAATATGAGTAATACACTTTTTATCCTTCAATGAAAGAAAGTAGAAATGATACATTTTCAATGAAAAAAAATAGAAATGATACACTTTCTTTCTTTTGTATTTGGTAGGCTGGATGAAAAATAAAAATAATTAATTTTTTTTTTGTTTGCTAAGATTAAAAGTGACAATCAAGTCGTGTTGAGTCATTGCAGGTTCGTATCGAATATTAGTCAAACTTAACTCAACTCATTTAACTAATCGTGTCGTGTCGAATCAAGTTGACATGTTTATTTTTGTTTCGTGTTCGTATTGACCCAAATAAATTTTGAATAAAAAATTTAACTCTAATATTCTATTTTCACTTAATTAAATTCATGCTCATATTTTTTCTACAAACTAAAAATTAACTTAAATAAATATAATAATGATAATAAGTAAAAATATCTTTTTTATATAATAATTATGTTAGTATTTAATAAATAGTCACAAATAATTAATATTTTATGTCTATAATATTAGATAAATATGTTAATTTCGTGTTACCATATAAACGAAAAAATAAAGAAAGTGTTTATTCTTAAATAAACGGATTGATGGTGTTAATTTTGGATTTGACTGGTTGAACTAAATATGAGCTGTATCGAGTTATAATTAAATTTGTATCATAAAATTCGTGTCGAGTTCGAGTCATGTCATCGTGTTGAGTCACAAATTTCCACCCTTAGCTAAGATGGACAAAATATTTTTTTTAATTTTTAATTTTTAAAATTTTTAAATTTTTTATTTTTAAATTTAAAAAAATATATAAATACATATTTTATTATTATATTTATATATGAAATTCATGTATCCACTTTCCTTCTGATTTTAGAGAGATTGATTTTTGTGAGTTAGAAGAAAAATTCATTTACCTATTTTTTCATTGTTCTTACTTTTTTACCAAATATAATATTTTATTTATCTCTTTAACTTTTTATTTTTTTATTTTTTAGCGTACCAAACGGAAAAAGACCACCGAACCTATAAGGATGGGCAGCAAATTTTAATTCATTGGGAAGGGTTGTCTCCAACCGAAGTTGACCTGGGAGGATTTGGAGGAGTTCAAGGGGGGAGAGTTGTTACGAGACTTAACGATTAAGCATGGGTGCAGAGTAATTAGGGGCAGCTGGGCTGGCTAAGGAGATTGTTTTAAAAATTAGTGGGGCCCTTGTGCTGGCCTGTGCTTGCTTTCCACGAAGTTTCTTTTTTTCTTCTTCTACCATCCAGTCAACGTTTCCTAGATACCACAACCCATTGTCAACAAAACGAGTGTGTCTCACACATTTCTTCATCTTTGGTTTTTCGATCTGCGAAGATCTTGCAGAGAGAGAGGAATAAGGAGGTTTTACCAGGTGAGCATCTTTTCTCAGAGAGACAGATAGAGGAGCAAGGAAGTTTAGCAGGTGAGTTTCTTTTCTATCTACTCTGCCCTTCTTTTCATTTTTGATCTTTTTGGTTTGATAAAAACTATGATCTTTTTGGTAGTTGTATATGTGAATTGTCATACTCATGGTAGAATCATGCTAATCATAGAAAGTATGATGAAATTGCATTTGTTGCATAATTGGTTGTATTTACCTCCTCTAACTATTTTTTGTGCATGTGCTAAGATTTCGATCCTCTTAATTTCAAGTCTTGTTAATTTTTAATCATATTTAATGATCTACCATTAAATTAATTGAGATTTTATGTAAAAGCATAGTTAGCAACTAATAACCATATTTGGAAGTACAACATGAGAGATGTGATATTTGAGGGGGCAATTTGAAATCAGTAATAATAGTTAAAGGTACAATGAGATAAACTTGATAGTTGAGGGGACAATATGACACATGGGCATAATTGAGGGGTCAAAATGTACGTGTAAAGCAAAATTTTGGAACCCTTCAAATTATTTCTGGTGAGTTGCTCCTTAAAGGTCTAATTCTTTTGGGTGAAAATAGAATAGCAACTAATGTTGCATTATAATAATGCTAGACTGATCAAATTTTGAGATTAAATTTGGAGCTCAAATAACATGACAGTTGATTATTTGAAGTTTTTATTGGGGCCCAAATAACATTACACCAATCAAAAAAGTCCAAGTCAATTGTCATGTCATTTGGACTCCAAATTTGGTCCAAAAATTTGGTCAGTCTAATATTACTGGTTGCATTATGATACTATACTTTCCTTCAAATATTAATGCTATCTCTTATGTTCAAAGGTAAAAATGATATCTTTAAGCCAAGCAAAGAGTAAAACATCAGTTCATAAGATTTAAAATAGCCAATTGTGAACCTTTTTTTTTTTTTTTATAATTGTGAACCATAAAGACTTGTTTAGTTCATTAGTTTGACCTCTTTTATGGCTTGTTAGAGATTCTTGATTCAGGGTTTCTGTCATATACTTGTCTTCTCATGACAAGCTTTTCATTGTATTATGGAACAGGTAATTAATTTACTTGTTAAGCGAATATGCAATCCAACGAGGGAGTGGACGAGGTTTGTGTTAGTATTGGTGAAAAGTTTAATCGTCTCTCTCCGTTACAATCTAAGTGTTGTATTTTTAGAGTTCATGACCAATTACGCAATGTGAATGAAAAGGCTTATGAACCAGAGATTATTGCAGTTGGTCCTTATCATCGTAGTAAAATTACACTACAGGTGATGAATAAACACAAGTTGCACTATTTTCAATTACTTCTTCAACGAAAAAACGAGACTATGAAGAAATATGTGGATGCTATGAGGTTATTAGAAGAAGATACTCGTAAATGTTATGGAGAACTCATAGGCGTGAACGAAAATGAATTGGTTGAAATGATGGTACTGGATGGTTGCTTCATCGTTGAATTGATCCGAAAGTTTGAGCATATTCACTTGAGAGACAAGCATGATCCTATTTTTGGAATGGACTGGATTGTTAACAGCTTGCAACGTGACTTGATGTTGTTCGAAAACCAGCTTCCATTCTTTGTTCTTTGCAAGTTGTTCGACATGATTGAAGTTCCAAACCATCATCACAGGTTCATTTATCTGGCCTTGCGTTTTTTCCGCGATCTTCTACCAGGTGTAGGACATAGAAAAAGTTTTGAAGGAAGTTCACCAGAAAATATTAAGCATTTGCTCGGGTTAATACACAATAACTGGCTTCCTTCATTTGCAGGAAACGACACAAGTGAAAATTTCATGGCCCACAAAAAAAAATGGCAGTTCATTCATTGTGCAACAGAGCTTAGAGAGGCAGGTATTCAGTTTGTGAAGAATGAAAAATGTAGTTTGTTTGATATCAAGTTTGATAATGGAGTTATGCAAATACATCCTTTGATAATCGAAGACAGAACAGAAACGTTCTTCAGAAATCTCATTGCATACGAGCAGTATGGTCAAGATACAGATTTCAGATATGTCACCGACTATGTGATATTCCTGGATAACCTCATCGACTCTCCAAAAGATGTTGACATACTTTGTCGCCGGGGAATTATTGATAATTGGTTAGGTGATGGTGAAGTGGTTTCCAACATATTTAACAAGATTACTGATGCTGTCACAACGCCAAACAACCACTTTCATTATGCTGAAATCTTCACTAAAGTGAACATTCATTGCAATAAACGCGTGAACCGATGGATGGCCAAATTGAGGCGAAACTATTTTAATAGTCCTTGGGGAGTTATTTCAATTGCTGCTGCCATCATACTACTTTTACTCACTGCCACACAGACTTTATTTACTGTTGTTCCTAAATGGGCATCAGCTAGGAATTAGCTAATGGGTAGTACTGTTTTTCCTCAGTTGTGACTCTGGGATTCAGTCTGTCCATTGCCTCCTTAGTTTCTTCCCTCTTGCCACTTTCCTCCCTCTTATGAAAAATACATCGTAATTACATTTATCTATAGTTTTATTTAGGGTTGAATTTTAGATTTGATCTGTACATATTGTAGATACATTAGTTTAGAATTTATTTGTTTGTTTTCATATTTGGACCTACTGTGATAGGCATATGCATTCTGGGCTTATTGTAATGGTAACTCACCAATTGTTATTATATATTTGAATTTGAAATCAAACTTGGAATTGTTTTCTACCTTTTCATTTTTTTTTTAATAATTTTTTTAAAAAATTTTCTACAATAGAAAAATAAACAGTGAGAATTGAAATGTTAGTCTCAAGTAAAGTAAAATCCAACTCCTTCTCAAAGTCATTGGTGAAGTTGAAGAATTGAAATTAAAATCGAGCAATTGAACCATTTTACAACTGAAATTAAAATTGAATTTTTTACAGACAAAACTAAAGTTGATATCAAATTTAATGTAATTTAAGTTGAAATTTTCAAGAATATAAGAACCGACTAGAGCTTCTCCTACCAGAAGAAGATTCGAAAGTGACAAACAAATGGAGTACATGGGGGAGTGTGTGCAAGCTATCAAGAGAAATAAGCACGAGTATTATGAATATCATGTAATAAATTATTTTTTTTTGGGTAAAATAAGGCATAAGCTAAAAGTTACACAGTACGGGGGAGGCTTCCTTCTTTGCAAGGATATTCGCACACCTATTGGCTTCCCTCGGTTCTTATTTGAGTAGCACCTCTTGCCATCTACAGTCATTGAGCAAAGTGTTGTGTGGGTGGTCCTCAGTATGAGGGTTGTTGATAAGTTCTATCACTATTTGAGCATCCACTTAGACCTCCTCCAACTTTGAGGGGCAGTTTTGGAGGGCTAATTGTAGACCCATTCTTAGCGCCCACAATTCTGCTCCCAAACTCATAGTTATGCCAATGTTTGCATAGAAGCAAACCATTACCTGTGCATCTGAATTTCTGCATAGTCCCCCTACGCCTGCTTGGCTTGGGTTTCCTTGGGCCGCTCTGTCCACATTGAGTTTAAACTATCTAGTATTCGTTATTTCCAGCCTATAAAAGTTTGAGTTTTGAAGGGCCTAGTGCAATTAGGGGCGAGGGTGTGAACTTCGTAGGCATGGCTTATTGCTTAATCAATTGTTAGATTAATTGGATGTTAAAAAAAATATTATTTTATTAAATATTCAATAATTGTACCTATATTTTATCACAAAATCATTCAAGTACAATTCCATTTCATTATTTATGTGAGAAATGTGAAAATGCAATTTTCTTAAATTTAAAGCCTACTAGTGTTTGAACCAGTCACGATTAATAAATATCCATAACATTTAGACTTTAGAAAGCAACTATGAGTTATGATAATGAAAAAATTGGCATTAGCTGGACACGTGGACACGAGCTTAGCTTGTGAGCTTTGCAGCTTGGTAAGTGAAATTTGGGAGAAAAACAACCCTTTATTTCATTCATTAACATGGTATATATACAATCTTAATAGAATAAGATAAACTAATTACAGGCAAGACCCTTTAACTAAGAGCTAATTACAACATACTCAACACTCCCCCTCAAGTGGGTGCATAGATATCACATATGCCCAACTTGTCAACAAATTTGGAAAACAATTTATTTGACACAGCTTTGGTCCGGAGATCCGCCAGTTGATCCTCAAATCGAATCTTGGGTAACTCGATAATTTTTGCTTCCAACTTTTCCTGGATAAAAAATTTGTCAACCTCCACATGTTTTGTTCTGTCATGTTGGACTGGATTACGGGCGATATCACAGACATCCTTGTTGTCACAGTACACTTGAATCGATTGTTTTGGTGGATACCCCAAATCCTCTAAAAGTTGTCTCAGCCATAGTACTTCACAAATACCGAGGGCCATACCTCGATATTCGGCTTCTACACTTGAACGAGCAACAACAATCTACTTCTTACTTCTCCAAGTAACAAGATTACCTCCTACAAAGGTGAAATAACCAGAGGTGGATTGCCTGTCATCAATGGACCCAGCCCAATCAACATCCGTATATGTTTCAACTTTGTGACAATCAGTACTCTTGGAAAACAATATTCCTTTTCCAGGGGGCAGACTTCAAGTACCTCAAGATTCGCATCACTGCCCTCATGTGTTGTTCTCCAGGATTATGCATAAATTGGCTAATACTCAGCGCGTAGGTAGGATTTGGCCTTGTGTGTGCCAGGTACATTAATCTCCCTACAAGTCTCTGGTATCTTCCTTTATCAACTGGAACTTGATTAGAAACAATACATAACTTCAACCCTTCTTCCACCGGAGTATCTGCGGGTTCACATGCTGACATTCCAGTTTCCTTCAACAAATCTAGGATATATTTTCTTTGAGACAGAAAAATTCCTCGACCAGATCGAGAAACTTCTATCCCAAGAAAATATTTCAATGAACCAAGATCTTCCATTTAAAATTCTTTGAACAAGTAATTCTGTAGAGCCTCTCTTTCCTCATGATCATTTCCTGTAACCACCATATCATCCACATATACAATGAATGCAGTAATCTTATCCTTTTGTTGTTTCAAAACCAAAGTATGATCTGCATTGCTCTGTTTGTATCCAAATTCTTTCATGGAATTTGTAAATCTTCCAAACCAGGCTCTAGGGGACTGTTTCAATCCATACAATGACTTCTTCAAGCTACATACTTTCCTCTCATGTTTTCCTTGCATAAGACATCCAGGTGGGAGATCCATATAAATTTCCTCCGTCAAGTCACAATACAGGAAAACATTCTTCACATCAAACTGTTGTAATGGCCAATCTAAATTCACAGCTAGAGATCCAAGTGGGAGATCCATATAAATTTCCTCCGTCAAGTCACAATACAGGAAAACATTCTTCACATCAAACTGTTGTAATGGCCAATCTAAATTCACAACTAGAGACAACAAAACACGAACAGTATTGATCTTGGCCACAGGTGCAAAAGTATCCATATAATCAATACTATATGTTTAAGTGTATCCCTTCGCCACCAGTCGAGCTTTGAATCGTTCGATGGTACCATCAGCTTTATACTTAACGGTATAGATTCATCGACACCCAACTGGCTTCTTTTCGGACGAGATATCAACAAGCTCCCATGTTTTGTTCTTTTACAAGGACTTCATTTCTTCATTCATCGCTACTTTTCAATTTGGATCAGCAAGGGCCTCCTGCACACTTTCAAGAATAGATACAACAGATAATTGATTCACAAATGACTTATTTGATTCAACCAAGCGATGGGTGGACACATACTGACTCATGGGATACTTCACCTTACTAGTAAGTTCAGGTTCATACACAGGTTTAGGAATACCTTTATTACTACGAGGGGGATTTCTTCTAAGAGAGTTTGGAATAGACTCGGGGACATCCTCAGGGAGTGATTGGTTATGTGTGTCGGGTTGCAGTGAGGGAGGCTCAAACAATGATGTCGTTTCAATAACAGAAGGGTCTTCCACACTACTTGAATCCAAACTGCTCACACATGTATCCACATCTTCAGATACTTCAGCATAATCATAATTCAGAATTTCATAATTATAAGAATCATAAATCTGAGTCTGAGTCTGAGTTTGAACTTCTGTCTGGTGATGCACCCCCTGAAGATCAAACTGAAGTGAAAAATACATCTTATCTTCATGAAAAACCACATCCAAAGTAATATGCATGACTTTTGTGGGAGGATAACATCGATACCCTTTCTGATGAGATGCATACCCTAAGAAAACACACCGCAATGCTCTAGGCTCTAATTTTCTCTGTTGATGTTTATGAAGGTGGACAAACACAACACACCCAAAAACACGAGGTTGCAAATTAGGGACAGTGGGAGCATTGGTAGCATCCTGTAAAGCTTGAAACAGTGTCTGAAATTTAACAGTGCTGAATGGAACACGATTAATGAGGTATGCATCTGAGGAAAGGGCATCACCCCAATAGGACACAGGCATATGAGCTTCAATCAAGGAAGCACAAACAACTTCCAACAAGTGCCGATTTTTTCTCTCTGCCACTTCATTTTGTTGGGGTGTGGAAGTACACGTGGTTTGATGAACAATGTCCTGTGTAGTCAAATAATGTTGAAGTTCAGACTACATATACTCTCCGCCATTATCACTACGAAGAACTTGAACCTGTGCTTTGTATTGAGTCTAAATCATGGTATGGAATTTCAGGAACAACAAATTCACCTCCTTTTTATACTTCATTAAGCATACCCAAGTCATCCTAGTACAATCATCAATAAATGTGACAAACCAACGTGATCCATTCATGGTAATAACCGGAGATGGACCCCAAACATTAGAATAAATATGTATAAAAGGAATGAGACTTTTATTTAAAGTTACTGGGAAGGAAACACAGTGACTTTTCGCAAGTTCAAACACTTCACAACGGAAAACATAAATATCAACTTTGGAAAATAAACTAGGAAACAACTTCTTCAAATAACCAAATGAGGCATGTCCTAAACATCGGTGCCACAACCAAATTTCAGTTTTTTTCTTCTCCCCTACAAAACTATCCCCTACCAATGCCTTGCTTAGCTTGTCATAACTCTTTGACACAAGATCCAGGTAGTACAGCTTCCCTCGCCTAACACCATAACCAATCGTTTGTCTCGTTCGGATGTCCTTAAAAACACAGAAATCAGGCCAAAAAGTCACAACACAGTGTAAGGTCAAGGTTATTTAAGCAACTGATAATAAATTATATTCCAAGGATGGGACAACTAGAACAGACTCCAAGTTTAAAGTATCTATAAGTGACACAGCCCCTTCTCCAATAACTGGAGCGGAGGCACCATTAGCAGTTGACACACATTTCTGGGAAGATTGGCTTAAGGATAAAATCTGGTTAGAATCAAATGTCATATGATCAGTTGCACCTGAATCAATTATCCATGTATTATTCAAAACAGGTACAGACATATTTAAAGCCTTACCAATATTGTTACCTATCGTTGCTATCAATGCAGTGGCATGTTTGGCAACTTCATTATCTCCATCTACCGTTCCTTCCGTTAATGCGGCCGTCGCATTCCGACCAACCCCTCATTTCTTTGAATCACGGTTGTGATCCCACCACTCTAGGTAACCAACATGTTTTTTAGTACCCCGAGAGCGAGC